GAAACGTCACAAAGAAATAAATATTTAAAGTTTATTATTTGATTAATTATTAATAATTATTATTTATTAGCTAATTAAGTAAAAAAATTTTATTTATATTTATTTTTTTATCAAATCATCAAAAGCTTTAATATCCTATTAAACTTAATTAAAAGTTTTATTTTTACTTTATCAAAATATCAAAATTTCAATATATTAAAATTAAAATTAAAAAATTTATTTATTTAATTTAATTTTATTGTTAGATTATTTATTTTATTGTAAATTTCAATCAGTATTTTCTTAATAAATAAATAGTTAAAATAATACATAAAACTTTAAATGAAGTAATTCCATCTAATATTGGACAAGGAAGAGAAAAAACTAATAGTTTAATAAATTGATTAAGTATGACCTTCCTACTAACACGTAATGAATACATTAATTCTTGGTATGTTCAATGAGATAATTTTTGCAGACATCATATGTATGTGAAATAAATGTAAAAGTAATATATTGTAAAATTCTTTTGACATACGATAGTTATACAGTTAATTTAAAATATATGAGTACTCTTTGCAATCTTGTAGTAGAATTTGATAGAAGAATGTAATTTCAATGAGAGGCATATTAGTCGCTATATCTATGCTAAGAATTGGTATAATCAGGACAGTATTAAGTGGAACATTTATGCGGAGTATCATTTATTTTAATCTGACCGTTAACTAACAATCATCTTTTAAATAGAAAAGCAATTTGAAATTGCTATAAAAATCAGTAGATAGGATACATTTCAACAGATCAAGGAATGGATGAAAAATTGCAGATTTAATTGGAGATACCATTATTTTATCACGCTTATCACACTCGTATTTTTCACCATCGTTCTTTCAGTCATAGTTTTGGTCATCATTATTTGGACGATTGAGCTGGTAATAATCGATATGAACGGCACAGATAATAAGAATTAGTTGATAAACGTATTAATTTAAGTGATGGTAAGAAAAATGGGACGGAATTGTTCAGTATAAACGATTACAGTGTAGAAAATACAATAGATATATAATGAGATTTGTTTTTGACTCAAGGACGTATGACAAGCTCGAAGTTAGATTGATAAGATGAAGCTTCGAATCAGAAAAATCATAGAGAAAATAAAGCTGTTAGTACAATCCCTTGCGGGATTAAAAATGCGAAACACGATATACCTATTATTACTAATTCCCTAAAAACTGCTCTTTTTTACGTATACTAGGTATATTCCACCAGCATTGCTAAATTTACAGAGTAGAATTTCATAAAGGAAATACTCCATCAGTACTCGGATTAGATGTTAGTTATACAGAACATTTGGTAGTCGGCTGAAGGCGGCTATCAGTTGCTGTGAAGGGTGTCTGTCACGGTCTATGAGGGGTTCTGACGTGTCTGTCACGGTCCGGGGTGGGTCCAGATCGTGCTGTCACGGTCCGGCGTGGATCCAGATCGTGTCTGTCACGGTCTGTGACGACTAATTAGTTAACTAAATACTAATTAATTAATTAATTACTTAAGATGTTTGTCACAATCTGTGAGGGGGAAGGAGGAAGGAGATGGATGCAAATTTCTACCCTATATACTTCAACACTCCTTTCAGATCGTGTTTCACAAAATTAGCTTGCCATTGCGCACAGATAGCATACTATGAAGATGAGTGTTGATCGATATGTATTTGTACAACATCATAAACTGTTGTCATTCTTTAG